CATCTGCCTTCTGCTGAGAGGTCGCGGTGAAGAGGGTTTTTCGCACAGCGGTCGGGATGGATCCACCGACAAATTCCCTTGAAGAATTCTTTGTTTCATCGACGGTGTGGCACGCAAATTAACAAGTGAGCGCAGATACCGACTTCTTAACAACGAGCCGATGCTTGACTTCGTGGTCTTCTTCTTCTTCTTTTAGTTCGTTACAGGCGTCAATCGCGAGACCGTTGTTCCATCTCTGGAATCAATATTTATAAAAATATGCACATTGGGTGGATAAATGTAGGACTCGATAGAAAGCTAGACGGGTTCACTTTTTCCTTTCTTTGAGCGCACACACTTGCATTTTCACAAGAACCCCAGACCCACAGTCTGCACAATCATATGTGAACGGAATGACTACTGTGTAGAGTAGAATCGTTGAAAACATACTAACCAGATTAGGGTTAATACGATGGAAGTTCATAAATGTTTGAGACAATTTGTGATAAGAGAGACAGCGGACTGAAAAAGGCACTCTCTTCTATACAAGTGGCGATATGTTATACTGAACTGAACCTGAATCTTCTACACAGATCTAGCTGAAGACTCAAGAATAACGCTGAGAATTTCAGATAGAACTGCGTTAGTGAAACGATTGCACTCACATTGAGCTTCCGCGTTCATCGCGAGGAAACAAAGGCTAGGAGAGCGAACAGCATTGTTCCGAGCAAATGGTATGTTTCTTGCCGCCACTCACTCCTTTTATACAGAATCTGATGACCGTCTTCGGAGCTTCCCATTCATAACCCCATTCATTTTTACCAACACATCCAGAATCCACGTACTCCGAAGCTGCGAAAACCTTAATCGCACGAATCGATGGAAGCAAAGTACGTTTTTTCACCGTGTAGCGGTTCAGGAACTCCGAGTTTTGCTAAATCGCCAGTGCTTTGAAATGGAGGGTGGAAATGTGAACGGAGGTTCAAGCAGCGCTTAGCTATCAGCGGCAGTGGTGCTGAAGCGAGTAGGAGTAAGTAGATGTATCTGTTATCAACCTGGCTGTTCTTCTGAGTGGCTGAAGTTAATGGTATAGAAAGGGAGGAGTCGCACTGAATTGCCCAAAGTGCTTTTCGTGTCATGCCATGTTGTCACAAAATCGTGGCGCTGGGGATTCTTCTTTATTGATTTCTGGAAACACCCCCCAAACAATGGAACACGTGGTCGATGTGTCAGTGAAGATGCGTGGATCTCTCCAAAAAGGTCTATTGGTGTTGTGAAAGGAACATGCGTTAAATGAAGAGGTAAAAGGATTTATAAAAGGAGTGAGTGGCGGCAAGATACATACCATTTGCTCGGAACAATGCTGTTCGCTCTCCTAGCTCTTTGTTTCCTCGCGATGAACGCGGAAGCTCAATGTGAGTGCAATCGTTTCACTAACGCAGTTCTATCTGAAACTTCTCAGCGTTATTCTTGAGTCTTCAGCTAGATCTGTTTAGAAGATTCAGGTTCATTTCAGTATAACATGCTGCCACTTGTAT